GCCCTCACAACGACTGCCCGCCGCCCCTCCGGTCGAAAGTGCTCGAAAATGCCCTTCGGAGCCTTTGCAAGTCCCCATTCAGCGCTACCTTTAATGAAGTTTTGTTTTAGGCTTCCATAGTTTAAAAAATAAATAAATAAAAAGAAAATGCCTTCAAAGTTATTACTACGCGCGGAGAAAATGAAATCAGTTCGTCAGTTGGGAGGAAAAACGCGTTTCAGGAAGGAGGTTATGGCCCCGGAAGGGTTATGAGAACGAGGCCAGGTCCCCAGACGCGGCAGGCCGGGGCTGAGCCCTGGGCACGATTTCGCTGGCGCGATTAGCCGTGAGATGGAGGATGAAGGCAGTGCTGGCGGATGCCTGGACTCCTGTCCCCGACCCTAGGGCGGCGGAACCATGCCCTGCCTGAAGGCGGTGGGCGATTCCTGGCACCCTTCCTTCCCCTTCTCACCTGAAACGCCCTCTTAGTCCGCTTTGGATACTTGTCTAAAACGTGAGCCTTACCCACCCCTGTCCTCAGAAACCGAACAGCCCCTCAAAGACTGCAAACGGGAGTTGAAATCCCGTGGAGTGGCGTTCAAGGCCCTGCCCAGCCTGATCTATTATAGCCTGTCTAGTGTGACTGCAGAGGCAGCAGCCAGAACTAAGGGGGTTCGGAGCAGGGAGAGGGCTCCCTCCCGTGAGGATCTAGAAACTTCCTCCAGTACAGGGTTGTTCAGTCTGGCCTTGGAGAATGAGCAGAATCTCAACAGGTGAAAAAATGAGGGAAGGAACATTTTACACAGGTAAAACAGCAAGCTCTAAAGCCCAAAGAAGCTGCTAAGACGGGTGGGCCTAAACCACACTTTCTTTTCTTGCAATTCCCTTTACTGGTTTCTCGAAGGACAGGGCTTCCACTGGCCTCGCTTTCCTGGCTCTCATAGGGATCCTGTTTGCCTGTAGCTGGACAATACATTAGTAATTAACCTATTAATTAGGGTCAAATGTAAGATTGACCACCAACACTTACAGTGGCTTAATTTCAAATGCAAGCCCTCCCTGTGACTTGGAAAATACTGATTTCCTTTGAACCACAGAAACTAGAGGAAAGAAGGAAGGGAGAGTGGGAAGAAGCCAACTTTTTAGGCCTGGTACCACTACTGTTAATTCTTTTCCTTTTTAACTAAAATTTAGTATGAAGTTATGTGGCTTTTTAGATATTGTAGCCCAGGGTACAATTCTTGCCTCCACCAAGGTTGTCAAACACATGACGGTTTTCTTTTCCTGTTTAATGTCCCAAAAAGCAAAAATGAAACATCTCGTTTTAAACTTCCTAGATGAGTGTCCTTCATTTCCTCAATCTGACTGCTTACTGGAAATGTTTTTATTAATTGCAAATTTATTCCCACATTGTAATGCAAATAGAAGAATGGCAAACGAACAGCTGCATTCATTTAAAATTGAGACTCTTGTTCAAGGGATGGCATATTCAGAATGACCCAAATTATCATGACATAAAGGCCACAGGTCAAATTCAAGGCCAAATCACAAATAATAGAAAATTTCCTTGGAGGGAAGCTAGTCTATGAACATTAATTCTTAACTTTTTTTAAAAGTACTTTAAGTATTTAACTGTATTTTGTTATTTTTATTATTTTATAATTCAAAGTTTAAGATCTACATAATAAAGACTTCAAAAATGTGAATGAGTTCTGCTTTTCTTATTTGGTTTCTTTCATACATATTTAATTCATCATTTTTTTTGAAATTTCACATGTCCTTAATAAAATTTTTCTCTAGAGATTTATTTCAAAAGTTTTGTAAAATACTGTTTTTTAGTTCTCATGTGCTTTTTATTCTTAACAGCGTTTCTTTTCTTTTCTTTTTGAAAGAGTTTCATTTGAATGAAGCCACATTGATGTGATGCTGCAGTTTAATAATCTGCTTTCAATGTTATTTCTGATTCAAAGTTTGTGTGAAGGATACATCTCCATCTTGATGGTGGAAAATTTCCATTCCGCTCTCTACTGTCACTAACCAAAGAGAAAACACAGGGCTGTGTTGGGCGAAATTGGGGCCTTCCTCCCATTTTCTCTCTACATTTCGAGTAGTACCTACCATCCCCCAGAAATCTCCTCCACAAGGAACTGACGCTATGGGATTTGAACTCTGGCTTTGAAACTTTTTGTTCTTTAAATCAACACAATTTCTATCTTTCATTGAGTTAAAAGTTAACTTAGAAA